ATACTCTTGGAAGTCAAGCTTCCTCTGTGCAAGGTGCCGTGTGCCCCGTCACAACCAATCCCTGGCTCAAGTGGTTTCTGGGACCGAAGAGGTACCTGGTTCGATACCCATAGGATATCAAGGACGCCGGAGATCGTCACTAAAGGGGACGAGCAATCACACCCCTGTGCTGTGACCGCACTGCCAACCCGCATCCAATTGGGTGTGTGATAGTTGGGAGGACACCCTACCGACCGAAAAAGTCCCATAAGTGAAAAGAGGGTTATGGAACCCGGTCCCAAAATGGGTCGGATAACTATCAGCATCTCGCGCTAGAGAAATCTTAATCCTAGCGTGTGGGTTTCCGTAACTTTAATTTCTAGTGTACGGGAGGGCGTCCGACGCAAGTTTTGTATACACGGTAATGTGCTGAAGGCTAAGTTGCTACCTGAATAGAAGCAAGTGTATAAGACCGTACTTATACAGGATCATTTCTGTAGAAGTAAGTATGAACGCCAGTGTAGTCCACTCAGTGAGGATGTTATTAGTCTGAGTGGTACTCTTGAGATAGTAGAGCTAACTAGACACCTAGTTCCGAGAAGGCTTTCGGTTTCGCTCCTGATAGTTGTAGCCCACCAACCCATCTTCTGTGCGTTCGTACTGCGGATTCTCAGAGTCAAAGCTATCTCTTCGCAGAATGCACAGTAGCCTGTTTAGCTACTTAATATGTGTTTCTACGCAATTGTCCGTCCGATCCGACGAATACTTCGACATTCTCAATATCTTACCAAGCCAATTAATACGGCCACATTTTGAAAATATGAACCAATCATACCGCGTAGAGACATAATTCACCATTCGTTGCAACATGTTCAACCTTGATGTGCCGCTAGCGCCAGCGATCGATGCGTTTGTGAATCCAGAAAACGATGATAGCTCGCAGAAGACTGGCCTTAATACTGTTATTATGCAAGTGCATCGACAAGTAACCATAGAAGCTCTAATTCAGGCCTTGGGTGTCCATCTTACCAGTGGCGACGACAAGGTGCGATCGCGAGCCACGCTATTGCTGGCCGAAGTGCTCACTCGCCTTCCAGAGCTACAACTCATGCCCAGCGCTGTGCAGCTTCTTTTGAACTTTTTTGCCGATCGATTGGCTGACTTTCCTAGCGCCTCTGCTTGCCTCCGCGGGTTACTTGCGCTCGAGACGCACCACGCGGCACAGATCCCTTCGCCGCGCACGACTATATCGCTAATGGTGAAGCTAGGCAGCATTCTACATATTCCACAGTTGGGACAGGCGATGCGCAAGATGTGTTTTGACCTATTCAATCTCACGCTGGCACAGCCTATGGTCATTGAGCTGCTACGGAACTCGGTAACTGCCGACAGGAATACACAAGACACCATGGTTGATGATGCAAAGCAGAATGAAGACTTTGGTCGTCAATTCACACAAACGTTTCTGACTGCCATGGAAGGGGAAAAGGATCCACGCAACCTGCTACTGTGCATGCATGTAGCGCGTACTCTTCTATCTCAGCTAGAGCTTGTGTTTTCTTGCAACACTTTACTATTGCAGCAATATTTTGACATTGTATCATGCTACTTCCCAATTATATTTGCTCCTCCACCAAATGATCCGTACGGTATTACATCGGACAGCCTCATCTTGTCGCTGCGTCACGCTTTCGCGGCTTCGGACTTGTTAGCACCATTTGTGGTACCGTTCTTGCTAAAAAAGCTTTCGTCTACAGTCGCCGAAGCGAAGCTGGATGCTATTCAGACACTGGTTTTCTGTGCTGAACGCTATTCAATAAACGTGTTGCTGCTTCAGATAGAAGCGATTACCATTGCATTATATGACGAAGTTTTAGACGGTGGGAAGCAAGAAGTTATCGCCGAAGCTCTCCAAGCAATCTCGCGGTTTTCTGGAGTTGTAGCGCGTGCCAAGACCCAGGAAATACCGGGAGCTACTTACGCATGGAGGTTGTTTGTCGTGGAAATGACGGCACGTGCCGTTGGCGAATTGCGCGGCCATGCTGCTGACTCGATGGTAAGCGTGTCAGCGGGACAGGTGCTGGCCGCACTGGGACGCGAATCGTCTTTGAGTTTCGCGCATGTACTTCAAATTGCTATCCCGCTGCTTATAGAGCAGTTTAAGATCGAAAGCACAGGAAGTGGCAGCGAGACATCTAGGTGCGAAGCTGCTCTTGGACGAATTCTTCTTCTTGTCGATAGCATTGACCGAGAAATCGATCAGTCATGCCAAGCACAACCTATGCGACCCTACGCACCTGTATTGATTAACGCTCTTGTGACCTTTCTAGGCGGTGATGAAGACAACGCGATGGAGTCTGGTACTAGTCCCACAGCACGATGTGTGGCAGTAGAAGCTCTGTGTCACCTTCTCACGTTTCCGCCATCCCCGATTGTCGATGTCATGCAGGTTAGGACTCTTGTTACATTATTCACCCGTATGCTGCTTCTGGATCCTGCACTTGAGGTGCGCAACGTGTGTTTACAAAGTCTGAAGGGGATATCGACCGTGTTAACCGAAAACTCTATTACGACGATAAGCCCTGGGGAATTATCGACGCACAGTGGTTATGCAGTGTTTGTGGTCGAAATCTCCTTGGCTCGACTCATGGCTACAGTCAACGCATGTGCTTGCAACGCAGACGGAAATGACGAAGATAATGCTGACGTATCCGCTATAATTTCTGCCTCGAATCGTGATTTTAATTCCTTGTTTGACGAAGTTTTAGTGGCAATCACCGAGTTGTGCCGAGAGTCATCTGTTTTTCAGGCTACAATTGTTCACCTTATCGACTTGTGCGTCGAAAGAGATGATAGGAAACAGACTGACATTGGATTCTATGAGGCTGACGGCGACGATACTCGTCAGCGTCATCTGAACCGTATATTAGAGGCTGTTGCTGAGATTGTCGAGATTAACAACGGCGATCGTAAAAGCATGGAGATCTGTGTGAATTCATCGTCGTCAACGTCTATCATTTTTCGACTACTTACGGCAGTCGAGACTTCTGCAACTCGTGCAACGGCTTTAACTGGCAACGACAAATTGAGCTTTGTGGACAACGCGAAGCTGTCAGCATGTGCTCGAATTTTTCGTGCTGTTATGCAAAATGTGTCTTCAGCCACACAACAGCGATTAATTGATACAATGGTACCAGCTTTCTTACGCACACAGCCCTCTGAACCAGCTTTTATACAACTCGTACCGCTATTTGCTGCAGTCATAAACTCTGTCGCCCGAAATGTTACCATTCTCGATTTATCGCTGGTTATTAACAGATTGCTTGAGCTTGCGCAGTCGTGCGCTGTTGCGGTGCTTGAGGCAAAATCCCATCAGCTTCAAAATATATTTTCCGACGCTGCTGACTCAGCAGCTAAAGCTTTAGCTTCAATCGTAAACAAAATGCCCGACGGTGCTGATTTTGATTCTACAGTCAACATGCTGCTGTATCAAAAACTCGCCGCTGTGATCAGTAAATCTGTCGAAAGTCTTACGGTGCGGGTGGCTGCTTTGCAGATCTACGCCTGGATTGTAAAGGCTTTGGTCCTCCGAGGCAACACGATCCATGCAGCAGAGTGCCTACGCTTCCTCTGTAATTTTCTCACGCCAGAAGGACGAAAAATTGATAGTTACGTGAATATGGAGGAAGAATGCGCCAACGACGCACAAGCTGCAGCGCTGCGTATGGAAGTTGCGCGAACCTTTAAACTTCTGGTTTCGGATTACCCAGACGTGCTTAACCGCAAGTGCGGGGCTATCGTTATGGTCAGATTTGCGTCGGTGCTGCATTCATCTGTCCAAATATCTAACACCGTTTCGTTGCGATTTGTTAGTTTCTCTACCGACAGCGGATGTTTAACGTTGTGTTTCCGATGCTGCTTGATTACATTCAATTTCACAAAGGCGAGGAGACAAGCGTGGCCGCTATGGTAGCGCTTGCACAAGTAATCGCACACTCACCCAAGACCGTCTACTTGCCGCATTTAGCTCAAATCTTTCCGCTAATGGTGCATGCCCTCAAGACAGACGACCGCGAGCTAGGAAGTGCAGCAATTCAAACCTTTAAATTGCTGCTGTTGGAGTCAGTGGAAAGCGCAAAGCCTTTCCTAAAAGACGTATTTCCCGGTCTGCTCAAGCAAGCACAATTCGGGTTCGTAGATTTCTGCATCGACATGTATCACTTGTATTAGTTGACTTTGTATGCATCGTGCAGACTTGGCGCAAAAGACCGACATGCCGCGCTGGAATGTCTTGCTAAACTGGCCAACATTCCGTATGAACTAGTGCATCCATACAAAAGTGTTGTGTTGCAAAAACTGTTGCTGGTGCTTGATGATCGCAAGCGCCTCGTTCGTCATATGGCCGTTCGAGTGCGAAATCAATGGAGCATCTTGTAGAATCTCGCCTGAACAAAACGTAACTATAAAAACTAGCGCAAATCGTTGTATCACGGTCGTCTATAAACTTTGCTAGATGGATGATTCTACTCGTCTACAGAAATTACTTTTTGAGCTCAAATTGTATGAAGGTCTTTTTCCTTAGCGCTCAATAGCTTGTCAATGTCTGCGATGGCGCCATCTGTAATCTTTTGAATGCGTTCCTTTTGAACCCTGATGTCATCTTCAGACACATTGTCCTTCAGCTTCTTAATGTGGTTCATAGCATCTTGGCGTACCCGACGCACGTGCTGTCGGGCTTGTTCCGCCTGCTTCTTTGTAGCCTTTAGAAGTTCAGCGCGGGTCTCCTTAGACATCCTGCACAATCGGGTAAGTACGTTGCTATGTTTTCCCAATGCTCATGATTACGAACTTTGGAAACGAGATCTCAAGCGAGCTCATGTCGTTGCGTACAGTGAATACCGGGTTTGAGTTTTCGATAGCTTCCTTAACGCCCTGAATGAGCTGAACATTCCGTATGAGACAGTCAGCATCATTCCTATTTGACCATGTACAGCACTCAACTTACAGATGGGTCATAGACCGACACGCTTAATGCGTGTGTTCCAACAACTGCCACTTGTGCAACTTGCGCAAGTGGTACATGTTGGCCGTACGCCTGCACATTCAGCTCATCAAAGATGCCGGCATCGGCGCGGCCTGGCCGCATCTGGTTTAGCGCGCGCATGAAGTTTACCACAGCACCATGCATGTTATTTTTTGCCTTTGCCAACGCCTTATCAGCACCTCCGTCATCTGCATCACCCACTTCCTCTTCCTTATCGTAGTCCACGATTGGAGAAAGAATAGATGCCTCGCTCCTACCCTTTTTAACCTTCGCAAACAACCGCGTCTGTGTCCTAGAAGCTGGCACACAAAGAATTGGAGAAGACCTAACAGAAGATGCTGCGATTACAAGTGGGCGAGCCGCAGCAACGGAAGTTAGACGCACAATGTGGCAGCCGACAATGCGGATGGCCATTGCTTACTCGTTAAGGATATATTAATTCGTATGCGGATATTTTTTTTCAAAAAATCAAGTATCCAGATCAATGCCGCCCGATGTCGTGAAGCGCTACTCGTTATTCCAGCGCTCAGTGCGCTTGATACAGACGTCAATTCGCCGTCTAGATCGTTGGGCTGCCTCGCGTGTCCCCGGTTTACCCAATCCACCCGAAGTCGAGGAAAGATTGCGCAAGCCTCGTTTCATCGATCTATGGGAATTAACGTTCGATGACCACCGCCGCATCTTCCACGAGGTGTGGCAAGAGTACAAAGCATCGTTTTCTGGTCCCAGTGACGAAGAACTCGATCGCAGCAAGGATGAGATTAAGCGTGCAGTGCAGATAGTACGCGGTCAGGTATCGAGCACTGTGAACAAAAACTTGAGTTTCCTGGACAAAAGTCTAGAGGGCACAAAAGCTCACAATAATCTACACACATTGGGCAAGCAAGGTGCCGAGAACGTTCAATACCTTGCAAAAGAGATTAAGGACGTGGCCAAGGGTGTAGACACGGATGCTGTGATTGCCCATGCCAAACAGGTGGTGGAAGACAGTCGTAGTAAAGACGATATGGCTACAACGCTTAAGAAAAATGTGATAGAGCTGCGTAATCTGGCGAAAGAGGGACGAGATGCTGCATTGCGCCTAGACGGCAAGGACGTTGATACTTTTAAGCTCAGTGTGCAATCATGGTTTGCGGACAAGCTGCTGGTGGGCCAGTCAGTGCTCATGGCATTTATCAATGGTTACCGAGAGGGTAAGGCGCTGGAGATTGAACGTGAGGACGCATTATTGATCACTTTTGCAAAGCAAGCAGCAGAAGACCACAAGGACCTTATCGAGAATCAGGTGAAGAAGATAATGGACCAGCAGCGAGAAAAGCAACGACAGGAACAAGAGAAAGCAGCATCAGAGGCATCGCAAAACACTGGACACTCAGAGCTGAAGGCAGAGTCAATCGAGATGGAGAAAGAAAGCGGGAAATCGTCAGCAGCAGGGCAGTCGTTATCGGCTCATCATTCTGAACCTCTAACAGGAAGACTATCCTCCACATCAAATAAGACCTAGTCAGCGATTTATTCATTGTTAGAAATGCACGTTGGGCCGCTTAGATTATCAATAACGCAAATGAAGAGATTTTAACAGGGTAGTGCTCCAAATGAAAACAGAGCGAACTGCGTAGAGCTTACGTAGAAAAGCGGCTTGAGATATTTCTAGCTCCCTTTTAAAGGAAACCTTTGCCGCGAATAATCTTCGAATATATCGATAAAGAAGTAAGAAACTGCAATCAAAGGAACAGACATCAGCTCATATCGTCAAGATGCCGCAGAAGGAAGAGCTTATGCGTTTAGAAGAGGTTGTTCTTCCACAGGATGATGATGACGATGATGAAAAATATCAGTACGAAACAGTCAGCGGTGAAAAGTTTGGACTGAGTGATGATGACAACGACGATGATGATGAAGAAGACTTTGCCGCAGTACTACGAAGCTTGAATCGTGATGCAGGACACGACACGATGGCCTCGGTGGACAATTATTTCCCCTCCTCCGACGCCATTACTTCTGTAGATCGCAATGTTGACGATAGCTCCAAGCAAGCGACGATGATACCTGTCCATGCACAAGTACGACCATCGGTTGTCGACGATTTCATCCGAAATTTTTTGATCAAGCTTGGACTTTCACGTACACTAGATATGTTTAACCATGAATGGTACGAGTTCATTGCGAAAGGAAAGTTGTGTGAAGACGAAGTCGGTGTTGTGCCCGATATCTATGTGCGCAACCAGGCTCTTGACGATCAGGTGAAGGAGTTAAGGCGTCAGCTGGATGACACCCGAAAGATTACCGAAAAGGCCAAAGGCACATGGGATAAATTTCGTCATCAACGTGATGTTCACAAGATGCATCATCAGCGAGTAATGCAAGAGAAGGAGGCGCTGGTCACCAAGATTCATAAGCTCGAGAAGCATATGGGTGCTTATGAGCCTTTGATTCAGGAGCTTAAAGCCAAGTATGAAAATTCAACCAAAGAGAAGATGCTTGCTCGTATCGAACGGGATCGACAAGTAGCCAGGGCAGAGGCTTTAGAAAATCAAATTAAACTTCTTACGGGTGCTTCGACAGCAACCAACTTGTCAAATGTAAAAAGTAAACAAGAGACTCAAGCAGGGCCGCTTAGCGGCACCGCTTCAACTACGGATGGACTATCATCGTCAAAGACTAGCTCGAAAGGGCAAAAGAAAAAGAGCAAGAACAAACGTGACGTGCTTGATACTAAGCTGCCTAAATCTGACGCTATAAATTTATTTGCCGACAAACACTTCGAGCCCGTAAATCCCGAAGTCGTGGAACTTGCTCGGAGCTGCCAGGCGCACGCCAATTCAGTGGCAGCAGTGGCATTTCACCCAAAAAGTCCCATGGTGGCGACTGTTTCGGACGATGAGACTTGGAAACTCTGGTCGGCACCTTCTGGGGAACTCATCATGAGCGGTGAAGGTCACCGTAGCTGGCTATCCAGCGTCGTGTTTCATCCGCGAGGGACGCATCTGGCAACGTCATCGGGAGATAATACTGTTAAGATCTGGGACTTCGTTGGCGCTACTTGTTCTTTAACGCTTACAGATCACTCGCATCCCGTTTGGGAGAGCGCGTTTCATCATGATGGAGACTTTCTTGTTAGCGCTTCAATGGACCATACATGCAAGTTGTGGGATTTGCAATCTGGACGTTGTCGCCGAACATTTCGTGGCCATGTGGACTCGGTCAACAGCGTTTGTTTTCAGCCGTTCTCTACAAACATTTGCACAGGCTCAGGAGACAAGACGGTTTCTGTTTGGGATTTACGATCTGGTCTCTGCGTGCAAACTTTTTACGGTCATCAGAATGCTTGCAATAGTGTGGCCTTTGCGCTTGCTGGTGATATCATAGCATCCTGTGACGCTGACGGTTTCATCAAGGTCTGGGACGTCCGCATGGTAGCTGAGCGTAGCTCACTTGATGGCGGGCAGCATCCGCTGAACAGTGTTGCATTCGATCGAAGCGGAAAGGTTTTGGCGGCGGCCAGTGACGAAGGGTTCGTCAAACTTTTCAGCATCAAAACAGAATCATTTACAACGAATCTTAAAGGCCATGAAGGTCCAGTCCAGGTGCGTTGAGGCAATTTTGAGTTCATTCATATGCATATTGTAGATGTTCGCTTACTTTTTCTCTTTTTTCTATGCCTCACATGCTGACACTGACATCAATTGCACCCATTGGAAATTTTGCTATGGCTCTCTGCAGTCTGTCAGGTTCGACCCTAATGGTCGTTTCTTAGCATCATCCAGTTCTGACTGCACATTCCGGCTCTGGTCAATTTAACGAGAATATAAAGCTGACATAACTGCATAATAATAATGTTCACCTATCAATCAACACTTCAATGACACGATGTCATCGCGTAATTGGTCGTGACTTGGTTTGTTAATGCGATTTGATAGCAGTGACTAAAGACTTCGAAGCTGCTCCTTTTTGCCACCGAATTCAGCACAAAGCACGGCGCGATAAAACGAAGTTTGCCAGTACGCACAAAGGAAAAGTGACCAAAATATCGAAAATAGGCGCCAAAGTACGTTTGTAAACACGTTCCACGTGCTGAACCAAACCACAAAAATCTCAAATATTACTGTGAGCGCTACGTATAGCCAAAATCGCGTCACGTAAAGCACCGGTGGCATAGAAACTTCTTGATGTGGATCCCAGAAGTTGGAGATCACACAGGCGAAGTAAATGTGCATGAATACGTTCATAAAAATCATGAGACCATAGCCGTAGTTTACAGGAGTCAAGGGGTGCACGCGGGCGGGAGCAATACGGAAGGCCAAGACAACAAGTGCGATACGAAATGCTTTATAAGCATATCGAGCTTGCTTATTGTTACGCATGGTCAAGTCCGTGCATCGCTGCTGGATCTGCCGCATAGGTAAAGTAATTTTGAGCGCATATAACGCAGCTGTGAGAAGAGCGAGCGAGCTAAAAAAGCCAAGTAGGGTCTTGATGGCTTCTTCCGCTCCGTAACGCTCTTGCGAAGCTGGTAGTGTCGCGCGGATGTCGTGCCACACGCCATGCAAGTCCATGAAAAAACCCGCCCACCAGTACCAAGGCTTGAGTATCGAAGCCATAGGGTATCCAACTGTGAGTGCTGGAATGCTTCTGGCTGATTCGACAACGACTTTAACGGGGCTAATGGGCGAAGTCATCGAGGCGAATTGGCGCAGATAATATAGTTTCCAGTGATATTGCTCATAAAAATACTTGTGATTGATGTTGTATCCAACAGGCAGTCGCATACCCTTTGGTTCCGGCTTCTTGATCTCCACAATGGCACCCGTGTATGAAGACTTCATTGGTGTGAACAGCTTTGCTTTGCGGAGCATCTTGCTGTACATTGAAGAGAGAAAGCCCTGGTCAGCACCATCGAAGCTTTCTAAATGCCCTAGAGCATTCAAAAGTCGCTCATATTCTGAACTGGAAGGCGTGACGACAAGAAGACCAGTGTGAAAGTGGCACGGGTTCATAAAGACTGCACAGAACTCTCCACAAAGAAATAGCTCGTCGGCATTACGGATCAGCACGTTGTCTGCATCAAGATACACGACGCGTTCGTATTCGAGCATGTTCCATACGTGCAACTTGTTGAGTGTGTAGATAAAACCTTTGTTCCGTAAAGTGCCTCCCACAAATGGATTATCGATGTTGATCACGTCCAAAACCCGGCAGCCCATAGAACGAAAAAGCGACTTACTTTTCTCAGAGACAGAGTCAGATGCCAGCACGACCAGATCGTACGGTGAGCCCGTGAGCTTAATTGAATGCATCATAACTTGTACACCAAGAACGTACTCAGCGTCACGGCTCGTGCCTTCGTAGTGCACAGTCACATATGCGAAGCGGCTAGTTGGAGGATCATAACGTTGGACAGCGAGCACGTCTGAGGTGGCAGCACTCGCACACAGTATCAGCGACAGGAATACAAGCAGGTGCCACGACATAGTGTGGGTAAGGATCTCACGATTCAGATAACACATGGAGAATTAATTTCCCTTTTAAAAGGTTTTTGAAAAGATAAGACACAAAACCACTTTTACGGGAATTTACCGGCTGTCAAAGAAGAATTTGTTTTGGCCCATCATCTGGCATATAGCTCACATATCGAAGTTTTCTGTGCTCGCTGCGCGACACTTTGTTGCGCAAAGTGATTTTTCTTGGGCAGTACGAATTATTGCGATGTTTGCTGCTTGGGTAATATACATGAATGCAAAACCTCCTTTAATGTGGTTCCGCACCACTCTGATTAGGCGGCGGGAAAACTCGTGAGAGCTGCTATTTCAGCTCCGCCCAAGAGGGAAACTCAGCTCCGGCCGGAGTGCCGCACGTCAGTGCTCAAATTGGTGCTCGACCACCAAGCTTTGAGATGGTTAGCACCACGCGCTGTTGCTCAGTCTGGATCATGGCGGATGTGATGGCCATCTCGACCTCTTTCACCCAGAGCAGGAGGTTCTCTCCACCCTTCCCCTCGAAGACCTCAACGCTCACTTTGAGCGGCTTAGGGCGGGGG